AGTGGACCTTGACAGTGAGCCTTGAGGTTCAATGAGGGTTCTCAGTGACTTCTCACTGGACGATCTCTTTGACTTTGACGACGATGATGAATGGAAAGTGAAGTGGAAGTTCAAAGCTAAGAGGGAGGCTAGTTTCAAGAATGCACAAGGAGAAGAGTTCGCACATCTGAAAGTGAAGGTAGCCAGTACTCATGATGACGGTTTGTTGTTAACCATTGAGGCAGGTGAAAGGTAAGGCCAAAGTGGAGGTGGAAATCGATGAGGATCATGAAGGGAATAAAACCGAACGTTGGAGTGCCAAGTCCGCCGTCAAGAAAGTTTACTACACGCTTGTATGTCGATGTTCACGACTCGGTCTTAGAGCAGTGCTATCATCCTGTCTTGCTGCTTTCAGACTATCAATGGTGTCGAGGTCCCTGTCGAAGTGGATAATCATAAGTGGCAGAATTGGGATCGAGAATGGGACATCCCTGGGATGTTCAAGGCCACCTATGATGCCAAATTTGGCACTGATGAAGTTTTCGTCGATACCAAATGCCTAGAAGCTCCACCAGCTGATGTGAGTGACCTCTCCAAGAGATGTATGAATGTCGATGACTGCATCATTGTCAGTTGTTGATGATCGGCTTCGCTATGGCCTATTTCATGCATCCCTCGAGCTATCTGTCTAGGGCGGAGAATGCGGCCAAGTCCCATGCCAGGAATGTGTTGAGGAGGCATTCTTAACTTCAATTTGCTCCCCTTTTCCCATACTTGTGAACTTTATCATGATCTTTGTGGAAATGTTGTGAACCCTCGTTGCTGGTCGTCGAGTTATGGAGTGGTGAATACCTCTCGATGTCGCGTACATTCCTTCATGGTGAATCCGCAACAGGATGGGTATACTTCTCATTCGATGCTAGGGAGCATTCTGCTACAACGGGGATATCGACCGATCATCGACCCTATCGGTCGTAATAATTTGAGAGGTTCCTTGTTAGCTGGATGATGGCTGTATCCCAGGAGCTGGGGATGATGACCGCCCAATCGGACACGATACACATAATCTATTCCTTTATGATAAGAAGAATAAGGATAGGCTTTTCCTCGTTACAATCGCACAATCTGAGAATATATCAT